CAAAAAAAATGACATGAATATTAACAGGACTATGACCCGCACTAATAAGGGAAATAGCTTTTTCATCCCAGAGACTGTCCCTAAGAGCCAAGCCAACTCTGTTGTTGTTCAAAGTGTTATTCTCAGGATTAGGAAATGAGCTGCCTCAGTAATGAGGTCTCCAGACGCTCTGCTGTTTGGATTATGTCTTCTGCCATTAAGGAATAATGGGAATATTATTCCCACTTGGGAATAATAAGTGCTGTTTTGGAGACAGAGATATCTAGCAATGGGGGCAGACAATTTGTACCTTATTAAAAAACACCTAAGCCAAAGTTAATGCTTTGTGACCCAAAGATGAAATTCTTCCAGGGGATAGGCTTGTGAGAATCTGGGGGAACTTAACGTGACTTCACGACTGGTGTCAGGCACAGGAAGACTGAGATAGGCATTATTTCCTTCCTCTCTAAATAGTTTCTTGAGTTATCACATTCTTGGTGCTGTCTAAAGATTAGCCAGCAAAGGAGGAAGAACTGTAACTCTGCTCAGTATGACATTAGTGATCGTCTGTTAAGGAAATTCATAGGCTCTTCAGTACATTAATATGGTTCTATAAAGTAATGGTTAGTAAAATAAGTGATGGGTTTTACATAATTTTAGAAAGGGCATTGACAAAAATCTGAGAAACATTATCGGTTAAAAAAAAAACTTTAATCTATGATTGCAGGAAGTCAAATTTCCAGAGTGGTGGATATAATTCAGGCACAAGCACAACTCTCTAGAAGACTCAAGAAGCAGGCTACATGGTAAGTTCCACTTGCTTAACTGCTGGGATGGGGAATGTTTAGGATAGTGCATACTGTTATTGCACTCCGTGGGGAACATGGACTCTCATAATAAAGAATGTGATTTCCAAGAAGTTGGAAATGTAGATGAATAGACTGATGTAGAGAAGGGGGCCGTAAAGCACTTGGAAGGCTGTAACTGGATCCTATACCAAAGGCTGTTCAAGAATCTAAGCTTGATGAGAAAAAGGCCATCTTGGCTCATCTTTTTTGCCTTAGCACTAGCACAGTACTTATACTTTGTGACTTCCTTACACATTGAACTCTTAAAGAAATTGTTTTGCTTGGTAAAACCAACAACAATTTTAGTTTAAGCAGATTGAAATACACAGAAGACTATTTGTTTTAGATTTCAAAGTTTGCTTTATTAATCTATAATTTTGCGTATTTATATGGTACATGTGATTGTTTTAATACATACAATGTTTAATTATAAAACCAAAATAATTAGAATGTCCATCACCTCAAACATGTATCATTTATTTGTATTGGAAACACTTCTAATCTTCTCTTTTAGAAATTTTGAAATATGAAACACATTATTATTGCCTCCTGTACTATCGAGCATCAAAATGGATTCCTTCTATCTACCTATATGTTTGTACCTGTTTACCAACCTCTCTTCATCCACAGCCTCACCATTTTCAGCTTCTAGTAAGCATCATTCTCTTCTCTACCTCCATGAGATCAACTTTTTAAGCTCCCACATATAAGTTAGAACATATCATACTTTTCTTTCTGTGCCTGGCTTATTTTGTTTTAAAAATTTATACATAATAGTTGTACATATTTACAGGGTACATGTATTTTGGTGCATGCATAGAATAAAAATGCTTGGGAGATTTTTTGAAATTCAGGAAATGAGGATAAGTAAGTTTTTTTCTCCAAAGAAAAAATGTAAACAGTACACTCATCTGGGATTGGGTCGGGAACAGGACTGTTTCACTTTTTTGTGATTTATTTGAAAGTGAGGGAAGGCAATACAAATTTCGAAGTCAATGAGATTACCTGAATTTTGAGTTTTCGGTCCCTCTGTACCCTCTCTCCTTTTTTCTCTCTCATTTTCCCCTCCTCACCTACTTTCCTATACCTTAGATAAGTAACCCTATCCTTGACTACATTTTAAATTTCCCCATTCCACTCTGCATCCCTTTACTGATTATTCTCTTGAATGGAGCTGGGATAGCATTTTGGGGGAGTGTTATCAGTTAACTAATGATCTGGAGAAGAGGGAAGCAAACATCTGAGGCCACAGACATGAAGAAGATCTTCTAGTTGATCAAATGAAATTATATTTTGAAAATAATGTGAACTAATTTTACTTATGCAAGTATAAAGAAATTGTGATTTTACAGTGATGGGCTCCACGCTGTCAATTATAACCCAGGCAAGGGATCTAGATGTCACTGCAGACTGTTTCTAGATGTATTCGTTGGATGAACTACTGTGACCTGAGGGAGAGGTAAAATATTGAGCATCTTCAAGAAAGGGATTAGAGGATTAGAGGCAAAACTGAAAATTGTATTCCATTTAATCCACACCTGTGTTAGGATAATACATGCAGCAGTGTGTGGATTTGGTCAACGCACTTCAAGAAAGATTTTAAAAGAGCATAAAGATGTCCATATGAACAACTGGAAGGGAAATTATAACAATTATAAAGTTAAGACTAGGATAATCACATATTTGTTTACAAATTCAGGAATTGGATTGAAAACCCTCCACCCCTACCCCTGATCATCTTAGAAATTTAAACTTGCTAATTTGGGGAAAACAGAAAAGAAATAACTAAGTTCTAATAACACTGGTACTTATTGAGAGTTTCCTATATGTCAAACACTAGGTCAAACTCTTCAAACAAGTAACCCGTTTAGTTTTCATGGCAACTGTATGAAATACTAAAATACTCAATTAACAAATGAGTTAAATATTAGGGTTAAGATTCTGAGGACCTATTGAGGAATTTATGCAGGAGAGCTCCACGAACAGGTTTTTGAAAAAAGTGTCATGTCAACACTGGGGAGGAAGACTTAGACTAATATCAACCAAAATGAGGCAGATTACTTGGGAGGCCATTGTGGTGATCACAGAGGATGGTGATGGCAGTTGGTAGCTGGGTGTTGGTAAAAAGCATGAAGAGGAGGGGACAGGAAGAGAGAATTTCAGGAGGCACTGTCTTTGTGTGGAAAAGGGAAGGGTGGTCATCAGGACAGTCCTCAGCTTTCCGAATGGAGATAATGGTTAAACATGGTGAGTATTATTAGGAGTACGTGTGGGCATAAGGAGCAAGGTTAATCTGTTCCAGTACAATCTCTCATGCTGGGTCTACTTGAGATAAGACAAAAAGAAGGTGGATCCGCTTATTTCTATCCCCCAGCACAGCTTCGAATATGCATGATTGAAGTGAAAATAGGGTGATTTGTCCTTCTCTGATTAAATGAATATTGTCTTTGCTCTCATACTAGAAAAACCTATTCCCTACTTGAAGAATCACCCTCAGATTCATTTGCCAGCTTTTCTACCTATGGTTAGAATTCACGGAGACAATCTAAATATTGCAGTGCTATATTAAACCATTTTTCATGATTCTAGAAGATATTTGTTGCAAGGCCTCTAGAAAAAAAAAATTCAGTAAGTGTTCCCTTTTCTACTCTATGACTGTCACTGAGGATTTTAGATGCAGGGCTTAGATAAACAAAGACCAGGACCTAGGGTTCTGGGAAGGAGAAGCACTCAGTACTCTCACGGGGCATTTGGCATTGAAAACTGCTGCCGGTGTTAAAAGGATATCAGTCTCACACCTTTTATCCTTCACTATTTCTCATTGGATCTTTGGGAATTCAGGAGTGTGCTGAGAAGGAACTCTAGAGCTGAGCACATTGGATGTATCGCCTGCTTCTTCCTTGACCTCGACCCACTTTTTCAATGGCCGGGTAGTTGTTTCTTTCTTTTTTTAAACAGCTTTATTGAAATACAATGGATATATAATATACTTCATATATTTAACGCGTACAGCTTAAGGAGCTTGGCAATGTACATACACCCATGAAACCATCATCATAATTAGGGTAATAAACATATCTATCACCTTTAAACACTTCCTTGTGTCCCTTTGGTTTTTGTTTTGTTTTGTGGTAAGACACTTAACATGAGATTTGTTAAGATGGTGTCATCTTGACAAATTTTTAAGTGCACATTATAATATTGTTGACTATAAGAATTATGCTGTACAGTAGCCCTTTAGAATTAATTTGTCTTCCTTAATTGAAATTTTACATGAATTGAACAACTCCCCACTTCCCCTTTCCTGTTCCCCAGTAACCACCATTCTATTCCCTACTCCTATGACTTTGACTATTTTAGATACCTCATATAAGTGGAATCATGCAATATTTGTCCTCCTGTGACTGGCTTATAACACTTATCATCCTCCAGGTTCATTTCTGTTGTTGCAAAGAGCAGGATTTTCTTTCTTTTCTTTTTAAGGCTGAATTCATTCATCTGTCAGTGGGCACCTGGGTTTGTTTCCACAACTTGGCTATTGTGAATGGTGTAATGAATGGAAATGCAAATATCTCTTATAGATTATGATTTTAATTCAGGTATATGAAAAGATGTTCAGTGTCGCGAATCATCAGGGAAATGCAAATCATCACCACAATGCATTATCACCACATAACAGGGTGGCTAGTATTTAAAAAAAAAACTATTATCAAAAGACAACAAGTGTTGGTGAGGATGTTAAGAAATTGGAACCCTTGTGTGCAGTTGCTGGAAAGGTAAAATGATGGAAAACAGTATGGATGCTCCTCTGACCTCCATATGATCACACTTCAGAGCAAGCACACCTCTGGATCATATACCTCTGCATATAAGATAAAAAAAAAAATAGAACCAGGGAGTTGTTTCTACAGACCTCTTTTAGTTTGTTACTGCTTTCTGACCTCTATCTCTGCTCTCAATCCCATGGTCCTACAGTAGCCTTCTATGCTTCCAAAGAAGAAGTTGGGCACAGATGGTTATTCTGAGCAAATGGCCAACAACAGCTCTAGGGCATTGCTCACAGGATGGACATGCTCTTCAATGAATACCTTGGCCCAGCCTGCTCTGTTTCATGATTAACTCATCACACCTTTCTTTCCTCTGCCCAGCTCTTTCACACCTAGACCTACCTCGATGGCAATGCCAAATTCTACTTTTGTGACTGAGTTCCTTTTTGAAGGTTTCTCCAGCTTCAGGTGGCAGCACAGACTTGCTTTCTTTGTTGTCTTTCTAACTTTGTACCTGCTGACTCTCTCTGGCAATGTGATTATCGTGACGATTATTCGCCTGGACCATCATCTCCACACCCCCATGTACTTCTTCCTGAGTATGCTCTCCATCTCTGAGACCTGCTACACTGTGGCCATCATTCCCCGTATGCTTTCTGGTCTCTTGAATCCTTACCAGCCCATTGCCATCCAAGGCTGTGCCACTCAGCTCTTCTTCTATCTCACTTTCGGCATCAACAACTGCTTCCTGCTCACAGTCATGGGATATGACCGCTATGTGGCCATCTGCAACCCCCTAAGGTATTCAGTCATCATGGGTAAGAGGGCCTGTGTCCAGTTGGCATCTGGGTCACTGGGGATTGGTCTAGGCATGGCCATTGTCCAGGTAACATCTGTGTTTGGCCTGCCCTTCTGTGATGCCTTTGTCATCTCCCACTTCTTCTGTGATGTGAGACCCCTGCTGAAGCTGGCCTGCACAGACACCACTGCCAATGAGATCATCAACTTTGTCGTCAGCGTCTGTGTCCTCGTGCTACCTATGGGCTTGGTCTTTATCTCCTATGTCCTCATCATCGCCACCATTCTTAAGATTGCCTCAGCTGAGGGTCGGAAGAAGGCTTTTGCCACCTGCGCCTCCCACCTCACAGTGGTCATCATCCACTATGGCTGTGCCTCCATCATCTACCTGAAGCCTAAGTCCCAGAGTTCCCTGGGACGGGACAGACTCATCTCAGTGACTTACACTGTCATCACTCCCCTGCTGAACCCCATTGTGTACAGCCTGAGGAACAAGGAGGTCAAAGATGCTCTGCGCAGGGCCGTGGGGCAAAAGCCCCTGTCTCCTTAATGAGGAGAGGTTGTAAAGGCTTTTTCTTTGAGTTTATAAATATGTATTAATATTTAATGCTCCTTCAAGAATGCCCTGATGTATTGGATCAAGAAGACTAGACTAAATTGAACTGAGTGCTAGAATTGGAAGTTTCTGTTTGAGGTTATCATGATCTTCTACATCCTGCTCTAGAACAGTTAGAAAATAGTTTGGCATACACTTATGAATGTAGAAAAAAAATTGCACGCCTGGATTGTGCATACCCGATGCACTCTCATACACATGAACACAGTGACACATACCCTGAGAATATTTTAAGTTATGTAACTCCATTAAAACATAAAGTCCAGCAGGGTTCTAAAAAGCTAATGAGCAAAATGTTTGGAAACCACTTCAGAAAGATTTTCTAGTTGACTGTTAAGGGTGTCAGAATAATTTATGCCACATTTTTAGCAAATAAGTTAGAAGATACACACATGTATGTGTTTCTGTGAACACTGAAGGCTTTCTTGTAAATAAGAAAACAAGCAAACCAAAAAAAGCTAGAGACAGACCTTCCAAGTTGATGGAACTGCTCTAACTGACCCAGTAGTGAAGAGTGTGCATGTAGGAAAGCCAAAAAGCTTCAACTACAGAGAACACAGACTTGAACTGTCCATACTCCTGAGACGCCCAGATCAGAAACCTCAGATAGAAAAGAAGAACATGCTGAAAAGGTTAACACTTTTCATACATTCAACACAAGAGTTAAAAGGATGGAGGTTGAAAGGCTCAGCAAAAGTATAGTTCATTTTGCCAGGTTGACATAAAACTCTCTGTAATCGTGTTATCAACATAAGTACTTTAACTACAACTTCTGAAAAGAATTATTAATGAACAGAAACCTGATGCATGACTTAAAATTTTTCCAGTGAGCTCCTAAGCCTGCAGGGGTAAATTTTCAGAAGTTTTTTTCTTTTATACTCCCAACTTTAAACCTGAGTTATAACAGCATTTTATGTCTGAGCATCACAGAAGGTGAAAATATATGTTCTGGTACAAGGAAGGATATTCTGTCTCTCATCTTTCTACTGCACTCTGGCCTTCTATACTGAAGAACAAGCACACCCTGAGTTTCAAATACACTCCTCCAGGATCCAGAATCCATCTAATCCAATGGAGTGACCCTGCAGAGGCAAGATATCACTTCTGATAGTGTGGTAAAGTCTGCAGTATGCTGAAAATGGGACAATTCATCTGAAATAAATTCTTTAAATTAACATGTCTTGCTTTGCCAAAAAATTATCATGTGAAGTCTGACTGGGGATAAAAGATATCTTTGGTTTACTGTCCAGATTTCTAGAAATGATATAGTTCATTTCTTAGTAGTTCATGCCTAGCAGTTCTGCTTAATGTAATTAGCAGCCACCGGGTAAGGTCTGCTGGCCAGTGCCACACTGTCTTCTATCTGAAGTTGTATTTGGTGAATGCTGTAGCACATCACCTGGATGGCACTCCTTCAGGACCCAGACAAGCATTCCTCCAGCTGCTGGGAGTATCTTGCACTAATGGCTGTCAGTTGAGTTCCTCTTCAAGACTGTCCTTGTTTTTTATTTATTTCTTTTTTGACATGGAGTCTTGCTCTGTCACCCAGGCTGTAGTGCAGTGGCACCATCTCGGCTCACCGCAACCTCCACCTCCTGGGTTCAAACAATTCTCCTGCCTCAGCCTCCTGAGTAGCTGGGATTACAGGCACCTGCCACCACACTTGGCTAATTTTTATATTTTTAGTAGAAACAGGATTTCACCATGTGAGCCAGCCTGGTCCTGAACTCCTGACCTCAGGCAATCCACCCACCTTGTTAAACAGCCGCTTCTTCCAAGGTCATGCTCCCTTCTTAGGGATATACTACCTCCAGCGATTTGTCTGTTTAGGGTATTGCTTCGCCTTAAGACAACTAGAAAGGTCTCTCCCAGCTCCAGGGGTTTTCGCTTGACTACATCACATTTCAACGTTTTAATTTTTGTCCAATACTGTTTTCTTCACTTCTTCACAAGTATAGATGCTGAGAGCTAATAAACTTGCTGTGTTCAAATCTCTGTCTCAGTGTCTGTTTTCTGAGGACCTCACCCTGCAACATTTTAGGATCTCATTTCTAAAACCGCCATTGATGTAAGTGAAGAATTCAAATTTTTCAGTCTTGATATATTCAAGTAAAGGCAGATCAGTAACTCCTGTATTTTAATTTAAAATAATTTTATTCTATTTGTTGAACTATATTTACTGTGATTCGATTTAGTTGGCAGCAGTGCAGTATTATCTTCTTGGAAACTGGTTAAAAAATTAAAATCTGAACTTTTCTCAGAATCCATAGGAAGTCATTCTTTTCTCTGCAAAAAATTATCTGTGAGCAGTTTCCATTTCATTGCAGCCTGCTGCTGCTACTTTGCAGAGAAATTGCTGGCTGTTGTCAATGATACTTGAAAATAACAGGAAAGACTTAAAGCGGACTTATGTCATTCAAGTTTCAAGAAGGGGAAGAGTGTCATTGTCATAAGTAAAATATATAAGTGAATTTGATTGTTGTGGTGAGCACATTAATAGAGTAAAAGGTTTGTGGTGGGAATGTTGCAGTGGTGGAAGAAGTTCCAGGTAGACACTTGGGCTTGGTAAGTAGCTGTCCAGAGCTGGGCAGATCAGCTACAGCAGGAAGAGAGCCCCACTCTCTGAGATTATCTAGAGTCCTAGGCTGGCAGGTGCCTCTGCTATCCTCAGCATAACACTTTCGTCTCTGGATTGTCACCATTTCCCATTTAAGGAGAAGAGGGAAAGAGCGGACTCTGTCTTCAAGTACTCAACTCCCCAGCATGCTGACAAGATGTATCATTTGTCTGAGTCACCACTCTGAAAGTGGTCACAGGGGATTGTCTTCCGTTGGCCACCGGTGCGGAGGTAATGACTTGCTTTTCAGAAAATTAGCCCCTAACTATTGTGAGTTCATGATGATTCTTATCTACCAATTTGGAACAGTGATCCATGGGAGAGCAAATTTTGCTCTATGAACTGGTCTTGACCAATTTGGGAAGATACAGAAGGTGATAGAGGGGGCAGCAAGGGTGAGTCTAGAGGGAATTATTTATATTCCAGTCATCTTATAACATATATAACATATGTACTCCATCTCTGGGATAGCAGAAAATATTTCATTTGTAAAGACATCTTTACAAATGCCATAATTTAGGGGTTCACAAAATACTCAAGCCCTGACTCTATGTTCCAGTTTCCCTGTGGAGCAAGAGATAAATGACTATCAAGAAGAAAATGGGTAGAAATAAATGGGTAGGTCTGGTACAAATGTGGAATTTAGATTCTGTACATAGAAGAGCACAGTGAAAAAAGAGACCAATGTGTGGAGGATGAAGGAAAAAATTACACTGGAGCTTCTCAGGGAATGTATTCTAAGCCTTAGTGCCTGGATAATTACTACATATGAACTTAAAGTAATGAATTACAAATTATCTGGGCTCCAAGGGACCTTCAAGACCACCTCCACCAGACTCCCAGTTCTAACAAAGAAGAAATAGAATCTCAGAGACTGGCAAGTAACTTGGCCCAATCACAGCTAGTTAGCAGCTTGAATATCCAAATCTGTGTTTTGTCCATAGTCCCTTCAATCTTCAGTGAGGAAAAGGGGAAATAAAAGTGAATTGTGATTCTCAAGAACCTGGAAAAATCTCTCAAAAAATGCATCTCAAGCTGATCAATCCTGGACTTTCTATCCATATCAAATAACTCTCATTTTTTAACTCTGAATCACTGGCCTCAATCCCTTGTCTGAAATAACGGAGTAAATTGCTGTTTAGCCTGATGCCTGGAATGCTGATGCACTGTGTAGAGCGCTGGGGAGAAAGGTGTGGTGGAAAGGCTGGTCCCAAGGCTAAAACCTCAGATAGACCTTGTGGAGGTGGCAGCAGAAGCATCCTGAAGCGGCACCAGGGAGTCTCCTAGGAGAACTTTGCCTGGCCTGTTGCTGCAGGAGAAATCGCCTCTCCATTGGCCAGACTGACTTACTACATGAAGCTAAGTGACAAGGGTATTCACTGGGAATCTGGCCATTTCTTGCCTCTGTGAAATGATTTTTTTTTCTTTTTTTTTTTTTTAGAAAAACTTTTTTTTATTGCATTTTAGGTTTTGGGGTACATGTGAAGAACATGCAAGATTGTTGCATAGGTACACACATGGCAGTGTGGTTTGCTGTCTTCCGTCCCCTCACCTGTATCTGTCATTTCTCCTCATGCTATCTCTTCCCACCTCCCCAACCCCCCGTCCCTCCCCCATTTCCCCCCAGCGGACCCCAGTGTGTAGTGCTCCCCTCCCTGTGTCCATGTGTTCTCATTGTTCAACACCCGCCTATGGGCGAGAATATACGGTGTTTGATTTTCTGCTCTTGTGTCAGTTTGCTGAGAATGATGGTTTCCAGGTTCATCCATGTCCCTGCAAAGGACGTGAACTCATCGTTTTTGATGGCTGCGTAATATTCCATGGTGTATATGTACCACATTTTCCCTATCCAGTCTATCATCGTTGGGCATTTGGGTTGGTTCCAGGTCTTTGCTATTGTAAACAGTGCTGCAATGAACATTCGTGTGCACGTGTCCTTGTAGTAGAATGATTTATAATCCTTTGGATATATACCCAGTAATGGGATTGCTGGGTCAAATGGGATTTCTATTTTTAGGTCCTTGAGGAATCGCCACACTGTCTTCCACAATGGTTGAATTAATTTACATTCCTACCAACAGTGTAAAAGTGTTCCTATTTGTGAAATGATTTTTAAGTGGAGGAGAGTTTGAAGAAAGGTAACACCAGATCCCTATTCAAAGCTTTAAAAAGAACAGGAAAAAGTTTCAGTCATTTCCCTCTTCTTTGTGGCCCAAAAAACGTTCCTTGGAAAAAATGGGACTTGTGGGTCTCACGGATATTTCAACGTTTCTCCCCAGACACTCACTCTCATACTATTAATTGTTCTAAGGCACAGATAACCTATGGGAATTCTGATCCCTCACTGATTTCCATGAATCC